AATTTTCTGTAAACATCAGCTCAGTGTGCAGACACAGTCAAGCAAGTAAATAGAACAGTAGGGATTAGTAGGAAAGGGGCACGAAGGGCAGGTCTGGCTCTCTAACCTGGAAAAGAGTATAATAGATAGAAAAAAAATCCAATAAGAAGGATTAAGTATAGTTTCCGTATGAAGAACAGCAGGATAGATAAGGAGTCTTTAACCCAGAGGTCTGTAAAAGCAGAAGGATACAGAGAGGGATGTGGTTGTTCATGTCCTCTCCCCTTCAAAAAGCAGGTTAGCTAAGTTCTGCTGTGGTATTTTCAGTATAGATGTTCTGTCACTTTACGTGAAGCAATCACGTTACTTGTATACTCTTTATAATGCAGCCAAGGATAATAAGCTTCTGAATATTGAGCAGATATCAGTTGTTCTGTGAGTAATGACTAGGAATAGCTGAAGTTCTTTGTTTAGATTTGAATCTGGGGAGAGAGGAGAAATGTCACTGGAAGAATGTGGTATTCACTAGAGGCGGTGGTAGAAGCTTGGCACAGTATGGTTACTGGAAGGATGAATCTTGAAAACATACGGGTTTACATTTCAGCAAAAACATTCATTAATGGGAAAAAATATTTGAAAAGGTGTGCAAAATCTGAAACTCTAGGAACCTCGCCTTTTCTTTTTTAATACCTGAGATCTCTGGTTTTTTCCACAGAGGAAATAATCTACTGCCCTTTTTTGGCTTTGCATAGCTCTCTGCAAAGAAGCCAGCTAATTGTTCCACTGAAAATCCAATGTTACTACAACTTTATTGTTCATCACAGGCAGCAGTTTGAGGCATCATCTTTGCTTAATACTTTATGGTCTCAGAATTTGCCCACGAAGGGATCTCAGTTCTTACGTGTTGGAAGTCAAGGTGTAAGCAAGTACTCATCACAAATATGATCATTTTCTGAGTGAGATAAAGTACACTAATACTGGCTATGTAGCCATTATCTAATGCTCAAGACAAAAAAAATCTATATAATCCAAGGAACACATAATTAGCTAGCTTCCAGTATTGCATGTACCTTGGCAGATGCAAGATGGTATTACTTTATCAAATAAGTCCCTGTGATTATTCTTTAAGCTGAATGGAGATGCTAACATACTTTGGTATTATGCACTGATGTGCTACCAGAAAAAAAACCACACACCAATGCATTTCCTTTAATTATGCATGTTATCCTACTTAACATCAACAGTTTTTCACTTGTAAATCAACAGTAAAAGGCTTATTTATACTACATTTCAACAAAATCCCCCTTTCCTACATCTCTTCAAGACATTTATGACTGAATGATGTTATGTTCAGCACAGTTTATATTTACCATGTCTGTTCCAATGGTCCTCATCCTCAGAGCTGGTTTCTTAAATTCCTGAAGTAGCCCTTAGTTTCCCCACAATTAAGTGGTCTGCCTTTAGCTCTCTCTTAAGGTCATCAGGTTTGCATCCAGAGGGACATTATGTGCAAATCCCTCTGAAGCTCAGCAGCATCGCAGGCAGATTGGACAGTTTGTTAGCTCCATTTCACCCAGGGGCTGAGTGTGCTACCTGGTGGTGCTCCCAATGTATAAAGAATAAATAAAAGATCTGCACTACTCACAGACAAAGCAGGAGGAAAACAGGCAAGTGGGGCCTCTTCCTTTTTTCCTCTGTAAAGTAGAAGAGTGCACTAGAAAAGTACAAAAAAGTTTGCTTCTTCCTAGTCACAGCTGGAGAACACAGTCCATGTGGATCACTCAGAGATGGTGTGTAGGAGAAGTCAACCAAACAAAAATCCTTGAAAGGTGAGCCACATAGATCTCCCTCACATACAGATAAAAAAGTTAGCTACAGCTTCTTCTGTAAAAGCGGCAGAAGTTTCACTGAGAATGAAGAGGAATGGAAGGGGAAAGCAGATAAACATACAGAGAACAGCAGCAGTACAAGCAGGAAAAAGTGGATTTCTGGAGAGGTCTATTAAAAGGAAATCTGTGGTTCACCTGGTAAACCAATAAGCAAGAGGACGAGATTTGGAGGTTCTGGAGAGTGCTGAGAATATCAGTAGGTGTCTCATCTTGGGTAGATAAAAGTTAAATCTACCAGTATGTATCTTCCCAACTAAGTCCACATGTGTTTTCTGAGGATGGATAGCTCACATGACTCCTGTTCCACAGGTAGATCACCTTTCAGAGAAGGATCTATCCTTATTTCAATAGGATTTACCTTAATTGGAGGTAACATAAAATAATAATGTCTTCTCTGTATAGATATTGCAATGTACAGAATATCCTTTTATGAAGTTCCTTCTCAAAATAACAGGCGTTCATGTCTATGTTCATACATTTATATTTGTGTATGTGTATATATGTGTTTAAATAAGCTACAAAGGCGGCTCTCAGAATCTTTTATTTTGCAGTATAACTTTTTCAGTAGGAGTTGATCTCAAGAGTCATAAAAATATCATGCAAATGCAGTTCTTTCATTTTTTTCATATACCAAAGTTCCTGATCTTTCAAATAACATATGAGCTTTGTGCTTAATTTTGCCTCATTTTTCTCAATCACAGTTTGCTAGCATCCTTTTTATTCTGGAGAACCTGAGTATTTAGAACTGGATGTATTTTTAAAGATGGTATCTTTCCTAGAAGGATTTTTGGACTATAAAACACGGGTGGGTGTCTAGTAAGGTGTAAGGTTTTTAAGAGAGTTATGAGTATTCTCCGGTCCATCACTTCACAGCGTCTCTTGACTGCCCTCACCTGTTGAACTCTGAGGTTATTGCCACTATAGCCGAAGCAGCAGGACACAGTACACGTTTTCACTTCATTACTGTAGTTGACAGTCCAGAGTATGAGTTAAGCCAACGATGAACATACCTTTGCATGAAGACTTGACTGAGAACTGAAGAAGCTAATGCACCAGTGAGCATCCTTTTCTGCCAGCTGTGCTATGGAGGGTGGTAACATCCAGCACAAGGATTCGGCAGACTGATAAAGGCAGTAGCATCTTCAAATGCCACAGTTTAATTATCCAAAAAGTATCTGCCAGAGCATGTGCTCCTGTGGAGCCTGAGTAAATCTAATCTTTTTCCCAGTGTGTCATGATACCAATATTTAGAGAACCCAGAATCACATGGGGCCTTTTTTCTTCTTCCATATGGCAATAAATGCCATGTTTTCTTTCTAGTGTCACTCATAGCTCTTTCAGCTGTACAGTTTTCCAAATATCTCCCCCTCTCTGCTGAATCACTGCTGTATGGACAAGCATTTCCCGGCACACGCGATTCTGTTGTGAGCACTGCAAACCCCCATGCGTGCGGGGGCTCTTTGCGACAGGGTGGGGAACTGAACGCAGCAGCAGGGCTGGCAGGTCAGGGGTCTCTCCCTCCTTCAGCCCCCAAGCAAGGCCTGGGGGCAGCAGCTGGGTTGACCCCAGACTCTGGGTCCTCAGGCAAGTCCACGGTGATGTTGGCTGGGCTGGGACGTCACATCAACCCTGAGCCCAGCAGCCACATCTCCCACAACAGGGCTGCTCGCTGCGCCTTTATGTCAAGTGTGCGGAGTTACTCATGTCTGGAACAGTTTGCTGGATCTGGCCTTTGAAATAATAGAATCAAATAATCCTTGTCTTATTGATGAAACCTGAGAGTAACAGGGAACAGAAATTACTGCAGTACTCCACCATGTCTCACTGAATCAGCACAGGGGGAATTCAGTGGTGCATGGTCTGTGATCCCCGTGGTTTCCAGTGCCGAACGGCAGGCATGTTCCCAGGCTTAAGGCTTGCAAGCCAGCAAGTGTCAACTGTGGTCGTGGCACGTTTGGGTGGTGTTTGTAGTTCAGTGGAGCAGGCTTCTGGGTAAGCAGAAAGGAGCAAACCTAGTATTTTTGCTAGCATAGGCTAGTTTTGCAGGAGAGAAGCTGATGTGGACATCAAGAAATTGCCCGCGCTCATCCTTGCACCATTTTAATTAAATTGATGTAAAATTATGTACTTATTTGGTATCTAAGTAGAGCATACAGTGATGTCTGAGTCAGGACCATTCTCTTGCCATGCTGCTTTGCTTAAATGCATACATACTCCCTGGGCAAAGGTTACCACCTGTACCATTACTGAGTGCTTCCTCTTGACTGGTGTACAAAATGACATGGCAGGCCTGTGAGGGAATGCCTGTTCTTTCACTGGCTGATGGAATGAGAGGGTTTCTTTTTTTTTTATTTTTGAAAGTTTCAGAATAGAGATGATGATGACACTCAGGAATTCACCTTTTCTGTCTCTCCCCCAAAAGATTGACTTTATCATACAGTCAATTTCTGTTTATTGAGATAAAGATATTATATAAAACTCTTAGGTAAATGATAACATTTATTCCAAATGAGAAACAATTTGTGACACCCTATAAGGAAGTTGGGGTCTGATTATACCAGCGTATCTCCAAATCCACATGTAGCATGTTTTTTCTAGTTTGCATACATGTAAGTGATAATAAATGGTGCAAAGAAGTGGAGATCCATACCTTTGTTTTGTTTTTATAAACCAGCAGCTGTGAAAGCTCATCATAGCTTTTTAAGAAGTTTCTAGAAGGGTGAGTTATTTTCAGACTTTGGAGTCCCTATAAATCAAAGCATGTTTTACCTAGAGGTTCTCTTTTTCTAAGTAAAGGTAAAAAAGTATTCTACTTTCTCTGGGAAATCATTATTTCCTCTTTTGTGAATAATTTTGTTAAATTAGGAAAGCCTTGCAAAAAAATCCTCGCATGATGATAGTGTGTGAAAAATGTGAAATATAATTTAGGGTTTTTTTTTTAAGATGAATGACTTCTTCATTGTTTTATTGCTAATAGCAAATGCATTTCAAAATCAAAGTAACTTGTTAGAATCCACATCTTTACACTGCTACTGAAATTGTGTTTTGATTTCTTTGACATGATCCCTGATTGCTGTGAGAAGAATCAGTTCAGTATTTTTGTTCTTAGATTCCCCCTCCTTTGTCTTGCAGCTACTTGTGGCAGATTCCATTAACAATTGCAGTAGGAAATACGAGCCACATCTCATCAGAGGCAATTATATGGGTGTCTAACAAATCAGGTAAAAATAAACTTTCCTCCCAGTGGAATCTCATAAAGCATACTTGTGTTTTCCTCAACTGTTTCTCTTGAATTGATCCTAGGTAATTGTTTGGTTTAGTTGCTCTGCACCCAGTTTTAGCTACTTGAAATGAATTACAAAAAAAGGAGAGTTGGGAAGGGAGGGAGGAGGAATGAAGGATGAGCAACAAGCAAGATAATTATCGCAGAAGTTAGACAGTAAAATGAAAAGCTTTTACATAGAAATGTGTACCTAAGTGCTAAGTATTTTATATTTAGCAACACATATCAAATCATTGATGAATGCAATTCACTTTATTGATTGGTGAAAGTTAAATGTAATATTTGTATAGCAAAGCATCTGATGAGTATGAGTTAGTAAAAGCAAAGTATTTAGAATTCTGGCACTTTAAACTCCGATCCATAGTCTGAACCAGGGCTAAGAAATGTTTACTGTCATTAAAAAGTTTCCTTATTGATCTATCGAAGTATTTGTTTTCTCTATTAGATAACCAGATGCTGGACCACAAAAGCACATTATTCTGCTTACTACTTATTTTCTCCCTCCTCAGTTCCTGCATGTTATTGTACATGTTATTGTACTGAGCACAGCTAGGGCTAGATAGCAGTGTTTTTCTATCACCTAAAAAAAGGAATCCTGCCATAGACATTTCATGAAATATTGCTCTATTTCCTTAGCAGTTCATGCTACATCAGCTGACTGTTTTGGACTGGAATTGAAGAGAGCGAGGGAAGAAATGTGGAGAATTGAATAGAATGATTAGATGGAAGGGAAAAGAAGAATGCATGCATCCCCTCAACACACAGGCTGCAGAGGGAGAACTGACCCCTTCTTGTTAAATTAGAAGGGCATAGGGATTTCCCTCTGATAGAAATTTAGCTGGAGAGAGGAAAGTGTCCAACTTGTGTGAGCCTATGTTTTTTTTTCCTTTTATTCTCTTTTCTAAGTCACTAAAAGATAATAGTCACATAGAGCTTATCAGCCAGCAGGAGCAGAAGTGAATGGTGTAAAAGATCAGTGGAAATTTGAGTATCCCAACTTTCTAGTGGTATAAGGTATGTGTTTCTTTGCCCTGATCATTTGCCGCCAATCAGAACACAACGTGTTTTACGCTGCTCCCATGATATAATGATTTAGAAATGTGCCCGGGACCAGGGCACTTTTCATACTTGAGAAACATACTCTAGTCAGAGCATACAGGTGCTGCCTTACTTTGCAGAAATATATCACATTGGCCATACTTTTTAATATTAACACCTCCGGAATACTTCAAAACCTGTTTGCACTTTCACAGTCTGCCTTAATGACCTGCTCTACTTTTGTCCTTTAGGGCTTGATTGAACTCTCATTGAAGTTAATAGAAAGATTCCCACTGACTTCAGAGAGAGTTGATCATCTCATCTCATCTCATCTCATTAGGTTGTACATGCATGCCTCCTTCCCTTCACTCCTGCCTTGAAAGTTCAGTATATCACTATTATCTGCACAGTTGCTTCCTCATTGCCTTTTACTTGCAGAGTGCTGTGGAGGAACAAGTCCATAAAACCACTACCTACTCTTTTAAGATCTACTGCTCCTATTGGAATGCCTTCAAGAAATCAACAAATTAATGATGGCCAGTGTGAGCAATGATTTTGGTGTGGCTGCTATATAGAAATTAAAGAGGAACCTTTCTGAGTCATCAGTTTCCTGTGTAACGAATCAATGCCACTGTGATCTATTGTCATTATCCTTGTCCTTCCTCATTACTTTCCCACTCACTCACTCACTTGCTGTGCCTCATTGAAAATGAGACTGTAAACTTAGGACTACAGCAAGGATGTCCTCTTGCTTCTACTTATTGTTGTCTAGCTCAGCTGGAGAATTCCTCAACATAAAAAAGTCAGTAAGAACATCCCCAAATGTACTCAATGTATGATTCTTTGCTGTGATGTATTGGGGCTGGTATAGATGATATTGTGATACTCCTGGAGATTTTCTGCATCTGGTATCTTTTTTTCATGGGGGTGTGGGGGGGAATTCTGGGACTGGAAAGGACAGTTTCCAGGATTGATTCTTGTGGACGGGAAGAATCCTGAAGACTTTCTGTTGTGCAGAGGACACAGTTTCAGTGTTGTCCCAGCAAGTAGTCGGGGAACGACTCCGCAAGCTGGAGGTGAAACAAACTACTCCAGAGGATATTTTGAAGATTGGGAGTGGTCACATTGTTCTTCAAGTGAGTGTAATTGAATGTGGATACTCAAATCAACTTTGGAGGAAATGCTGTTCATGAGGATGGTTTCCATGCCCTCTTTAGGAAGGAGCGGGCATTTCCTTCTTGTTGACTAAACTGCTGTGATAAAGAAGCTTCCAGTGTAACCGGAAGAATGGATAGGAGATGATGAACAGCTGTCTGTTGTCTGTCATGTAATACTGATCACATACCTCATTTCAACTACCAGTAATGAAGAGGGTCCAAGTTAATGACTACCATTATGATATCTTGGCATATCACTTAAATTTTTCAATAAAATTAACCTTGTGTGTGTGTTATCTGAGAGAAGTGAAACCATGGCAGTTTTGAAATAGCTGCGTATATTGCCATCAAGAAATATTGGGTTTTTTGTGGTAGTTTGAATAACAATTTCCCAAAGGAGTACACCCCCTGCCTTGCACTAGAGTTCACCAGGGATGGTTGGTTGCTGATGGAAGAGTTTCTTCCTTCATGCACATGCAGAAGGACAAGAGAGAGAATTACTAATTCTTGCATCCTCTTTGCTACCATGTCTGTGACCTCATCAAGGTATTGCAGGATGCCAATTGGCATTTTCAGTGGTATAAGAGGCCACTGTCCAGTCTCGTGAGAGCCACTGAATGTAGGATGCTTTGGTTGCTGCTCTCTATACATCCTGGTCGTGTCTGGTTACATAGCAGAGATAGTGAGGCATGCAGATCTCTAATTGTTCAATATGCTGAGCAGGATTACTTCAGATAATTGCAGATCATCCCAACTGCTGGCAACAGAGCTCATTCTGTCCACTCTTCACAACACCAAGGTGGAGAGACACACTGGAAATTACAACTATGCAGCATCTCTGAGATGCAATTCATTGTTCTTTGCAACAAATGCTGTAGAGAGGACATTGCCAGGCCTTGGCAACTTGCCTGACAAAGTGCATAATCTCCAAGATGTTTCGTATTCATTGTAGCTCTTCACACCTGTTTGTAGAAAGTATATAGTCATAGTTTTGGAAGGTTTTCATTTTGCAAGTGCTTCTGCCAGTCTCTCTTCTCCTTACCCAGTTGCCATAGCATTGATGTAAGCATTTTTCTGCTCATCAGTTCATATACCAGCCATCAGATGACCCTTTTACTGGCTCAGTTTGTCTGGGCCTGTGAAATGGAGTTGTCTCTTTTGCTCTGAGTGCTGCACAGATATGTTACCACCACCTTTCTCCCTGTTCATTCCCATAGCCATGGATGAGGCTGCTCTGCTTCAGGCAAGTCACAGCTATTGAGCCTCTGAAAACCAAACCAGTCACAAAGAAAGGAGACGTCTCATGTTTAGCCTTCCTATCCATGTTGAAGTCAGAGACATCACACTAAGATCGCTACAATGGTCTTTGTGTTACAGTCTTGGAGATCCGCTGAATGATAGATTTCACCAGCACTGTGGAAATCATTTGCCTTATGAACTTCTGCTCTGTCATAGATCCAGGGCTTGTTTCTGTTCCTCCTAGATAAGTTGCCTCTTTTGTGGTCACTATAATGATGTAGGAACATAATGTCCACAGTGTTTTGGGATCAGCCCAAAATCAGTAGTGGGTAAAAAGTCAAGGACCAGCTTTGAACTCAGCCCATCCCCAGATGATGACTGCTTAGCAGGGCTTGTGGGAAGGTGTTGGCGATTGCTGCTGAAGGCATGCTAAGTGTGGAAGCACAGGCTCACCTGTCGCATTTCTGCATATCCAGGAGAAGTGACCTTAACCTCAAGTGAGGAGGTTTAGCTAACATCCATTTCAAACAGGTGAGCAAGGCTTTGGAAAAAAAGACATACTTTCCATTCCCTGGGCATGATTGTTCTGGCGCTCAGGCTCCAGGTAGGAAACATCTCCATGCCGCTCAGCAAGTGCTGCTGAACTGACCCATGCAGCTTTACAGTCTGCCTCCTGCCCTTTCCATCCCCACCTCCTGTACCTTGACTGATTTGTTATGTCCCAGGGAAATATTCTTCTGATGGACCTCCCTGCCTCTGGTAAAGTGACTCTCATTCATACTCCTCGTAGTATCTCCACAGGATTGCCAAGAGATGGGGGAAAGAAAGTTCAACAGGGCAATTGCCTTCCAAACAGCAAGTCCCAATTTACTATATCATGCCACCTCCTACTAGATAGTCTCTGCTTTAACTATAAGCCCCTTGGCAGTCTGATTCTCTTCCATGAAGTGTTTTGTAGAAGACAGTTTCTTCTGAGCTGGGGTTTGCTGGCTGCACAGTGGGGAGCAGAGCACTAGTGCAGCATTAGAAAAATACCCTTTCTTTTTCTTTCTGAGACTGAGCTGCTGAGCTTGACCTGTGTTGCTTCCAGACTCCACTCTTTTATCTTTCGAAACCGGGAGGAAGGGAAACACTGTGAAGTAAAATAATGTATAGATCCTGCTTTACAACTTTAGCCAGCCATAGTGAGGACCAGGGATACAAGACCTGCAGTCCTGGCGTGACTTTGACAATGAGGCAGAATCACTCCTTTTATTCTAGCAGCTGAGCAAAGATCCTAACAGAAGACTGCTGCTTACATTCTGTATCACCTTAGACATTAGCAGTCTCATCATATAGGAATGTTAATGGATGGAAGGGTAGTCTGAAGAAAGAGAGTGTGAGACAGAACATGATCATATTTACTGATGTGGTCCATTTACTGTGGTGTTCTCCGTACCAAAACATTTTTTTCAACATGGAGATAGAGCAACATGGCAAGTGAGACAGAAACAACTTTTTCTTCTGTTTTGCCTTCTCCCTGTATGAAATGTTCTTGCAAAAAGATTTGCAGAATTTAGTTAAAGCCAGTACCTTTTCACAAAATATTGTGATTGTGATGAAATTCCTCATCGAACATTTTCTTTGTCAGGAAAATTTCACTTGCTGTTGTTGGCATGAAATTGTGCTACTTTTGTGCAGTTATTTTTACCGGAAAATTGAGTCAGTTCTCCCAGTAGGATTTCTACCAGCATAAACCGATTTCCTAGTATGCTAGGGGTTGTATAAAATGAAGAGTTAAAATAACAACTGTGAGTCTGAACACTTGAAACGGTAGTAGAACTGTGTTTAGCCCACGCTCTTGTCAGCACTGGAGCAGTGTCTTGCAGAGGAGTGCCCTTTGCCCAGACCTGCCTTACGAGGTGCTCGTGTTGCCGTGCGGAGGAGCAGGCTTCCTCCTGCTGGTTTTGATGGAGTTGAAGTTGCTCGAGAGCTGGGAGAGCTCAGAACTTCAAGCCACGTGCAGTTAGCACCAGCTGGAGGACTGTCTCACACTTCCAGAGCAGAGAAAATGAGAGTCAGACCCTAACTGATTTTCTTACTTCAAAGCAAATGTCATAAAATTTAACCATTTCCTCTTAAATGTCTCCTCTATGTATATGGCAAAACTGGAAGTTTCAGAGCAGTGTTATTTTCTGAGGTTTCCAGACAAAACATGACCATGGAAAAATACTTCCTGATGGAAGAAGATTAAAAAAATTTCCGTTTAATCTCAAATACAACTGTATGTAGATATTAGATTGAATTTTAAGAGGTAAACTAATACCATAAGAGATTTCTTCCCAAATGAAATCCTTGTTGTTGTTTAGAAAGTCATGAATGGTTTAATACCGGGTTTAACACTGAATGACTACCTTTTCCCTAACTATAATACTTTTAACAGGAAACTAATGAATGTGTTTGTGGTTAAGTGGAGAAATTGCCCAGGTGTATAGAAATTTTCAGTGCTGTAATTGCCAAAAGAAAGAATTTCTGTAATAGTAAGGCATGAGAATTGACAGACTCAAACATCAAATTCCAGTAAATTATATAGAACTATGTGAAGCACATACATCAGGCAGTCCCTTAAAATACCCACCTGCTTATATGAGCTGGAAAGGCATGAAAGATTCCTGTCCTGTATTTCAGGAAAAGGTCAACACATGAGTGGTCTTATTGAAAAATAATAGCAAGGGGTTATGGTTGGATTTAAACTGACCAAAACAGTAATAACGCCGTCGAGCTTTGAAAAGACACTGTTCTCCATTAAAGCAATATGTGCTGGAGGTGTTGTGCAGCTGTTACTTGTGAAATAGGTTATTTTGAACTTGTCATATTTGACTGGCAAGTATCATTCTGTACTCTATTACAGCATAAGTAATTTCCTCAGTTTGGAGATCAAAATTTAATACAAATACTCAAAGAAGAAAAAAATGTATGTAGTTTTTTTATTACATCTGAATTTGAAAATTTCCATTGAATGTATTTATTTACCCAGATATTGATTAATGTTGCTCATAGCCCATTTGGTATGCTTTTAGGTATCATAGAGATGCAGGGATTAACCAGTTACAAGTAGCTACTTTCAGTGATGGTGTCGTTTGAAGGTTAGTTTGCAAGAGGAGAGCATGGGCAGAAAGCAGTACTGTGTTAAGGTGGTAGGATTTTCTGCCAGGCGTGGGCAGCCTGCTCCTGACCCCACATGGCAGTATGCCCCTGAGGACCCAGAGAAACTCTAAAAGTTGTTGTTTCCCTCAGCGGTCTCTCCTCGATATAGAAGTGCGTATTTTTGCTGTTGCTCTTAAGAAACCCACTTGGTCGATATGGAAAATAGCTGAGATTTGGGGTGACAGGTTGTTGGGGTGACAGGTTACTCAGTGTAACCACCACACTGAGTAAACTAAATAGGATGGGGTAGATCCAGATTCAAATTCCTTCTCTCTCTGTTTTGCAGGAGATCCAAACCTGTTCTAAGAAAGTGCTTTTATCACTATGCTGTAAATTGTTACGGTCTTTTACAGTATTTCTACAGTAATCTTTTTCTTTGTATAAGATTCAGTGATTTACACAGGAACCAGGATTCAAGTCTTCTGTAAGTAGGCTGGAGCAGCTAGGTGATTCTGACTTCAGGTCCAGGGAAAAAAAGGATTTAAACAGAAGAGCAACTTCAGTATAGCAGTCTAAGAGAGTTTGCTTAGGACTGAGCTACATAGCCCAGCGTGTAACAGATCCCTGTGGAAGGAAGGACACCCGGTGTCAAAACCTCGTTCCAAATCAGATTGCGTGGCAAAAGCAGCTTGGGCGCTTTGGCGGTATGAACGCTTGGGAAGCCCACGGAGTTGTAGGACTTAATTCTGGTTTTCTCAGTCCCATTTCTGCAGGATATGTTGGCTCCTAAAGAATGTGTCTGCTTGGTGGTTTCTCACAGACAACTTAATGGATGTAATCAATATTTTAACTAAAACCAGGGGTCTGTATTTTTTTTTTCCTAATTGTTTATATAGAATAATTAAATCGAACTGGTGCAAGTCAGTTAGACAAACTGTAAAAGAGCAATACGAATTGAATTGAATAGGCAACAACTGAGTTATTCTGGACTTAGCATTTCTAAGATGTGTATTTTTAAGTAATTTTAATGATATCGGAACTACGTAGGTGAGAAGAGGACTTTCTTTTTAATCCTGCAGCTTTTTATCTGAATTTGTGTGCATAACGCAACTCCATGAATTTAAAGTTAAACATATAATTAGGTGGGTTTAGGATTGGGGTCTTGCTGCTCTTTGTATTTTTTGCACCTTAAAATGATAGTTATTTGTGTGTTTGCTAGAGATATTTAGTGAAGGGAGAAGCATAACTTTTATCTGTAGTCCTAGTCATCTATTATTTCCTCAGAAATTACATTTTTATAAGAAAGGCTGAAACAAATCAATTTCTTCAGTAAGTCTAGATACTAGATAGTAAGTGCAAATTGTTAAGACTGTATTGTTCACTTTTTTCCCCATTCGTTACTTTCAGAGAATTCAAGCACACCAAACAATTCCCTGATGGAATTATGTTTAAAACAAATTTTATGTATTTCTTTTTATTTTTAAAAATGCATGAGAAGACTGTTCCTTTTGTCAACGGTGTACAAACTAATTTTATTATAGTAGGAAAAAAATTACTTAATTTTTAGTGAGTTCGGGTGGACGATCAGTTTTGTCAGAATAATTCACTAGATTGAAGGCTTCTTCAAGAGACATTGCAGCCTGAGGCTTCATTCCATGATGATTCTTTCCATAGTGAAAGAACTGTGTGTTGTGAGTTCAGGGTGTTTTTGTTGTTGAAATCCCTAGTCCTGCAAATAGTTGTGGGCTGCCTGACTGTACAAAGACTGGAATAAATTTAGACTTTCAGCCTCAAAGTGATTACTTACTTAAAAAGAGAGGAAAGAGGAAGAACGGGTTAGTTGATAGAAGGTTAATTGGTCTAGCTCTAAAGGGGAGCCTCTCAGTGGTTAATAACTAGAAGCTGTACAACTGGAAATACTTTAATTTAAAATCCAATATAAAAGCTTCATTGACTACATGCAGAAACACTTAAGAATTTATTTTTTTTAAACACAGGTTTAGTCTTCTCTCTATAGCACATCCATTGAATTATTGGAGTTATGGTGGTAGAAAAAGCTATTTTAGCATGGCCAGAATCAGGATGCCAGACTTAAAATGGGCACCTCTCATATAAATGGTATTTGCCAGAAAAAACCCCACCCTTGGAGTTCTGTGTGGGTAAAAGGTCCCCATAGGAATGTCAGCCGGTGTCTCTCTATGTCAGAACAGATAAAGAAAATCAGTAATTAAACACAATGTATTTTGTTAGTCTTTGAATTAATTTTACTGCCTTCATGGATGTTTAAAGAAGGAGAGAATTTAACAGATATGTCTTTAGAATTTTTAAATTTAAAACAAAGTCCCCTTCCCATCTTGTTCTTTGTTTCCAGAACACCACAGAATTCCTGCTTTGGAAGAGGCAAGTTGGTTGCTGGGGAACATCAACCAGACTGGCTACTTTAGAGTTAATTATGATATTAGGAATTGGAGGCTGCTAATTAATCAGCTAACAAGGAACCATGAGGTAAGCTCCTCTTCTCATCCCTAAAATCTGCTTTGGTAGGTGAACCTTCACTGTTTCATCATCCTAAATGGTTCAATTTTTCTGCTTGCCCCTCACAGGTTATCTCTGTCAGTAATCGAGCAGGCTTGATCGATGATGCATTCAATCTAGCCAGGTATGTTTTCCTGAAGATAATCTATCCTCATACACATTGCTGCAATAACTCATGCAATCATTAACTCAGCAGTTGAGTGTGTTTCGAAGTTAAATACGTTTTAAACACACTTTAGTTCTTTTCCCCTCCCATTTTTTTGGTAGGGCACGTAAACATGGTCTGTAGCACATTCACTGCTCTTGATCAATAATTGCCGTAGGGTATTTCCGAGTCTGGAGAGGTCTGATCAATTTTGCAGCAAGTTCAATTTAACACTTTGGAGATAAATAATGTCTTTCCTCTTTCTCTAATGAATGAGGGGTTTTTTCTTCTGTCTCTCCCTAATGCCCCACCTCTCCTTTTTTTATAACTGACCCTTATGCTGTATTTAATTTGTGATGGATGGCGCCTTCAAGCTTCAGGATTTTTTTTTTCCCTGACTTGTACTGTTACATCATTTTTACAGTATCTTTCTTTTCTTGTAATCTGCTGGAACAGACTCTTTTTCTGCATGATGCTTTTCAAACAGAATGGAAAATCAGAGTTCCATTGAGTATTTCTGGAATATATAAAACATTTTGTGTTTTACTACGATCAGAGTTAATAATTAGCACATATAGTGCTGGTTAGGTGATGCCTTCTTTACAAATTGAGGCAATGGAATTGTCCCCCTTTTGAAATCAGGACATCCAATATGTTGGTAGTCAAAGTGTAAAATGAGAGGAAAGTAGTGGAACATTTCAAACTTTTTGATTCTTGAGGTACCTGGGAACATTGCATCAGTAATACACTATGATGTCAAAGGCAGCGTGAAAATAATTCCTGATATTACTGGCTTTTCTGTTTCCTAGTGTATTTATAGCCATATTTGAGCAGGGGCTCGCAAACATCTGCAGTACTGAGGTACATTTCACTACAGACGGTCACTGGAGATGTTTGAGATTCAGGCACAGTGTCACACAGAAATGATGGCTCAGTGATGTTCCAGCATCACTGCAGTAAAACACAGTTGTGTGCCCTACCACTCTGTTCCTGCTGCCAGTGCTAGACTGAATATATTACATAAACTAGTCATTAGCCCTTATTTAACAATCCAGAGATGTAGTAGGGAAGGAGGCTTCATGGGGAGAGGAGGAGTGCTTTTTGCACTGTCCTTCATTCTTGCCTTGTGGCATCTTCCCGTTGGCAACAGTAAAAGACTAGAAATAGGTCATCACTTCAGACTTTAGTGTACCGTGATTTGTGTGCTCCCTGGCTAGTAGAATATGGCAGAGTATTCTGAAATATCTAGACTGTTAGAAGAAGTACTAAATGATCAGTGATGTAACAGTCCCTTCCAATTTTATTTGATTTTGTCACCTCAGAGATGTAGTGTGCAGTTGCACAGAATCAGTGTGGAGCTTTCTTCTTTTTCCATGCACTGAACGCAGTCAGATGTGGCTAGACTTCTCTGAAAATCTAGATACTGAAAAAAGCTGGTTTTTTAAGCCAGTTCTTATAGGTGTGTGTTTTTCTTCTGAGTCAGTACTGAGCCAGTGCTCTAGGATGTCTTGTTCATGAAGCATAAAGGCAAGGCCTTGATGAAAGGCGCAACCTGCATCATCCGGCCAAGTTTTGTCTACCTAAAAACCACCCAGAGATTAGATGAGTAACACCTTCCCCACTTGCTTTCCAAAGCAGTTTTATGGTGATACTGGATCCTGCTGCTTTTTTGGAGGTAACTACGCCAGAGCACTGTGAAGTCTTTCACAAGATTTCACATTGTGAAAACTTGACGTTCTTTTGTTAATGATGAGCTGCAGCGGACTGCTGCTGCTTTTCTTACTCATGCACCATGGAAAAAAGTAGTTGAGCTAAATATCTACAGCGTATACACGTGTGCATATGTACTTTCCTCATTACTTATGAGGAAATATTCTTCTAACAGGGATATAGTAGCTATATTCCCATTTCTTTTAAATCTCTGCACAGACTCCTGTCAGTAGTGTTACCCTGAGTATGTGCCTTACAAGCCAGTCTGGGCAGAGGAAAGATCTGCATGTTTGCAAACAGTAGATTTATGCTCTGTATTTGAAGAATAGCAATAAGATGTATGGACCTGGCTAAACTTACCATGTAAGGTATACTTTTTGTTGATCTTTTTTTTACTTTATTCCTCTATCATCTTTCCCATGAAAAAAACCCACAAAACAGTTATACTGATGCTGAAGTTAGTCTAATTGGCTAGCTGACTGTGTGGTACCTTTTTAAGAAAAGTTTGGTATTTTTTGTTTTTATTTCCCCTCTCCGAGACAAAGAAAGATCAGGAATAGGCCTAATCCTTGCTCTGTTCCTTTATCATGAGTAGGACTAGAGAGGCATTAAGAGACGTAGGAGTGTGTTGGGGGCAGACCTTGATGGCAGAGCACCTGAACTGCTGGGAGTACGAAAGCAGATGGAGAAGCTCTTGCTGGGGGAATAGCACACTGATGCAGCAGCGCAGCACAGCTGCCCCTGCTGTGTCAGGTGCTCCGATGTGATGCAGCCGCATTCATAAAACAAGCTCCAAGGGCTGTCAAAATCACATAGACCTTTTCAATTTCCTCAACAAAACAGTGTTCGGAAGGCCACCACCAGCCTGAAAGCAGCTTAGCTTTCCCCTGCTTGGCTGGGAGGCGCAGCGCAGAAAGTCAGTTCACTTTCTTTTGGAGCAGTACCATGGTTTGGATGTTACCTGCCTCGTGGATGCAGTGCCGATTCAATCTTGTCTCCAATGCACAGCATGTTTCTCCCTACCCATATAATGTTACGTGATGGGGAGATTAAATGCGTACGACTGTCTCTGTGACATGAGAAAAGGTGAGTAGCCTTATTGACCAGCCATAGAAGTAGTAGTTGGTAGTCTAGACCTGACTTCTGAGAAGATTGGCTGGTTTTAAGGGTAATTCAGTCCTCAGTTGTGGTCCCTAGTTGCACTTGTCTGAAAACAACACATTTTGAGAGAGGGAAGAGAACCGCAGAATACATACTTCTGTTTTAATCCCTAGCTACTATTTTCAGTGATAAAATAATGCAAAAATGAAAACATAACTTCTTAAATTCATGCTGGTCCTTTTTAAAAGAATTTCTGACCTAAACAGTTCTTTTTACTGTACTGAAGAAACTGTATTTCTTCAAAATACCCTATCCTTAGAAACTTCTGAAGTACTTCATACTGTATTGTTGAACTTGATACATTCTACATCAGAAGGGTTTGACTCAATTTTTCCACTAATATGATATGTCCTAATATGATATTTCTATGTAGTTTTACTGCTAATTGATTTTGTTCATGGAACAAGTACAGGTCTTATCTGTACTAAAATTTAATAATACTTAGATCTGGAGAAAGATGAAAAAATTGCTCATATAAATTATTTTGGAGCACCACATTTTATTTTATTTTTTTAAAGAAGGTGTGTTTGTTTGATTTCATTCCTTCAAAATGTTTATTATCCTTTTACTGTCCAGCATAATGATTTCTCAAAAATAAACAATATAAATGAAGTGATATCTTCAAGGAATATTTTAAGCTCTATAACTTTAATTTCATAAAGTTTTGCCCATTTTATATGGAAATATATTCCTTCTTCTTCCTTCCTGGTGTATTTTGGTTCCATAAAATTAATCAAGCAGAGTTGAATTGAATAATAAGAATAAAAGAAAGCTGCAGCTTGCCCACTGTCTGAATTCTCACAAGCTTGTTTTTTTTCAGATTTTTAAGCGTAATTCTGTTCTCAACCGTAGTACATGCACATGCCTGGAGGATCTAGAGAGCTGTAGCCCTGGCAGTACCGTAGCTTATAGAAATACATGCCCCAATTTCTTGAGCAAGAATAGCACCTTGGCACTCTTTCTTCCTTTCTTCTTGAAGACCCTTTATCTTTTGGGGATGTTTTGTATGAAATTTCTGTACAATTTGAAAATATGTTGATTGTAGTAAATTGGATGTGTTGACTGGGAAAGCAGAGAGAAGACAAATAGAACTGTGGTTCTTTTCTAAGCTTAAACTGAGCAGAGGGCAGTTTAGATAGCTCCAATAAGTACTGTCACAGGAAGTAACAAAGATCCTACTGTTTCTTGAGAGTATTAGTAATGTTGTCAGCTTCTCCTGTCTTTCTCTTTCCTTAGAATAAGGGGTCAGTTAGTGGGTATGTGGGATGGGATGCCTCCCACTTTTCTTTAGGCATCCCAAAGGTAGACCTGTAAATCTGAGCGTGTCACCTTGCAGTGCTCTAATGGTTAATGAAGACAGACGTGTACCTGACCTCTTAAAACCACTTAACCACATAGGATAAGATAAATTACCCTCCTAATGTCAGGAGTGTTGTGTCATCCCTAGTTCTTCCTTGCTGGACTCTCAATCTTCATGTTCACTTCCCCTTATTAAACTGGTTGACTTAATCCAATATTATGTCAGAGAAATAGGTCTGGTTTGTATTCAGTGTTAATCAGTGTTGGATCAGATGTGACTGCAGCTACCCATTGTACTGTCATCCAATAGTTATTGCTCTTTCCAGTTCTGGAAGTATCCATCAGTTTCATCTCCTGAAACCTAATGTGTGCCTCATACCACTTTGATCCTGCCTTGCACCATAATCAGCTCACCGTGTTAAGGTGGCAGGTGCTTGGTTTACATGCCAGTTACTCAGGAAAACGTTTTTTTGATGCTCACAATCTGTATTGCCATCAATTAGTATCTTGTCTTCTGTTCTGTAGTTGAAGAGATAGTGGTGGAGTTCCTCAGATACTCAGATTTTCCTGACAGTTCCCTTTTGGGTGGGTCATAGGCCTAGTGATGGTGCAGTGCATGTCAAGACTACACTCATTGGTTATACGTTAGCAAAGGCCAAAGATAAAACTTGACAGTTTTTTCATGTTTCTTAGCAACATTTCTTTGATGTTTATCAGGAGCTTTTTTTTTTAACTGGATTCATGACAAAACATGAAGTGGTGGTGTTAAATAATCGTTCTTCTGCTCCAGGGATGGACGGTCACGTTGC